GCTGCGCGACAAGATTCTTCGATGTGGAGGATCGATTTCAGAGGACGCCTTCGTCACGGTTGTCATCGGCGGTCTTGGTCCTCACTGGCGCTCCACTCGCGCCATACTACGAGCCCACGGGAAAATTTCTGAAGCAGCACTTTGCGCCGAAATCCACGCCGAGCAGCAAGACATGGACCTGCAAGAAGAACGACACAAGAGAAAGGTATCAGTGCCCGAATTCGCGTTTCACACTCAACGGCGCCACAACAACAACAACAATCGACCGAAAATCGTACCTCCGTTCTGCCACCTCTGCAAGACTTCAGGGCATCCTCGTACGCACTGCCCGAATCGACAACAGTCAACGTCGCCGCAACGCCAACTTTGCCCTTCAAGCAGTCAAGTCGCCTCAACGCAAGCAAATCCGACAACTTCAGTACAAGTCTCAACAACATCGACGGGACAACCTGCGAAAGGAACAAGAAACATCGTCAGCTGCATGGCAAGGCTGAGTGACTCCTGCGTAACTGAGTCACCACCATATTACTCACCAGAAGAACAACTCGACAACAGCACGCCTCGCCGCGAGTCACTTCAACCGAACCCGACGTACGCCGCCATCGCTCAAAGCGAGCCGTCCGGGAAGGATACATGGTTCTTGGACAGTTGCTGCGGACAACATATGTGCTCTTCAGGACGTTTCGTTCAACGCGAGCACCAACTTCAACCAGAAGTCGTCATCACTGTCGCCAATAATCAGAATCTGCGCACACGACGACAAGGAGTAGTGCAACTTCAGTCACGAGAGACGAATGTCATACTGCAAATGTCCAAAGTCCTAATAGCAGAAGGACTTGGCTACAACTTACTGAGCGTCAGTCAGTTGATGGCGAAAGGCATACATCTGGAAGCCGACAGTACCACCCAGGAGTTCAAGCTGTACCACGGGAAGGGCGGCCTCTACATCGGAAAGGCGGTCCTGAAGAACAATGTCTTCGTTCTCGATTTCGTCCCAGACCTGGGCACCGCAGACAGTGACGGGATCGTCACCTTCACATCTTGGACGCACCCGCCGGATCTCGACCCCGACTTCAGTCCGGAAGGCTTTTGGTATTCACATACCATTCCTGAAGCAGAACGAACACGTGCGTTAGTAACAATACAACATTCGGCAGCAGCAGAGACAACATCGGCAGCAGCAGAGACAACATCGGCAGCAGCAGAGACAACATCGGCAGCAGCAGAGACAACATCGGCAGCAGCAGAGACAACATCGGCAGCAGCAGAGACATCATCGGCAGCAGCAGAGACATCATCGGCAGTAGCAGGAACAACAACAGTAGCAGCAACAACGACACCACTCCTCGTTGACGGAGCACCACCAACACCCGCACAGCAGCTGAATCCGGCTCAACGGGAAGTCCATAGAAGCGCAAACTTCACTGCCAGCTTCTACTCCAACTCCGACGCGTATCGACGCTCACCCGGACACCGCGCCTCCGAAGACATCTGGCACGCACGCATGGGACACCCAAGCAACACTGTGTTAAACAACACAATAAGAGCAGGAGTCCTTGACAAGGACTCGTTACTACTACTCGACGGCAGAGAACTTCAACGGGCACGAGGAACATGTCTTACCTGCCCCGAAGCCGACTTACCACATCGGCCGTTCACTCCTCATCACAACCCGAGCACACCCGCGTACGCACCACTAGAAAAGGTGTATAGCGACATCCTGTACAATCGGGAACCAGGACAAGTAATATACAACTACACAATCACCTTCATCGATGCCGCCACCCGTTACGTCTGGCATCTAAACCTACCCAGCCGCGACATGGTCCTCGAAGCATTCGCTGCTTGGCTACCAGTAGCAGAAAGAGAGTCGGGCGTAAAGCTGAAAAGCTTCCAGTCTGACGGAGGAGGAGAATACACCTCTCAGCGATTCAAGCAGTACCTGGCGGAAAGGGGAATCAAGCAGCTCCTCTCTCTTCCCTACGCCCATCAGCAGCAAGGTGTAGCAGAAAGAATGAACAGGACTCTGCAGAACAGCATGCGCAAACAGTTGCGTGGCATGCGGCTACCCAACCACCAGTGGCCTGACGCGATGGACCACGCTGTCATGCTGCACAACTTGCTCTCATCTTCATCACTACCGAACAACGCATCACCGCATCTGCTGTGGACAGGAAAACAGGGCAGCACAAAAATGTTACGAGTGTTCGGATGCATGGTACAGTACCGACCCCCAGCAGCACGAGCGGGCCGATTTTCACAACGCGCACAGTGGGGACTACACCTCGGCATCGAAAAGAACTACAACGCGTGGAAAATCTTTGACGTCCACTCCAAGGAAACAGTAGCAGCACGCGACGTCATTTTCTACGAACGACTCACGCTCCAGACATACCTTGCCAACCTGCAAGAGGACCAAGATCCCACAGGTGGTTTTCGTAGTGACCGAGCCTTCGCCTCGGCAGCAGACGAAGCTGACTGGGACGAGCAGAATGTGGCCAACGCATCAAAAGAAGCTGGACCCCTTCCGTTCTGCTCCGTCGACGTCCCCATGGACGAAGATAACCCTCGCGAAAGTGTCAACGCCGAAACCTTCTACTACTTCGCCGACAACGGTTACGTAACACCTGCGACAGTCAACACCAACGAAGCAGAACGAGTAGGACCGAATTTCATACCTGATCCAGAAGCGGGAGATGAAGCAGCTTATCCCGAGGATGCAACTCTTCCCCGCTACTCACAGACTGGACTGCAGATTCTCGGACTCGTCACCGCAGTCCACGGCAACACTCTTCCTAAGGAGCCTGCGACGGTTCAGCAGGCTCTGGGGGGGGAACACAGGGAAAAATGGCGTGAAGCCATGGACAGAGAGTTAAAGGCGCTGGAGGAACGGAACACCTGGAAAGTTGTCCCCATCAGCGTGGCAAGGAACAAGACCATTCTCACCGGGAAATGGGTCTTCCGCGTTAAAACAAAAGCAGACGGCACAATTGAGAAGTTCAAAGCACGCTGGGTTGTGCGTGGATTCGATCAGGAGCACGGACGGGACTTCACCGAGACATTCGCCCCGGTTAGCCGACATACCTCACTTCGAATCCTCCTCGCGATCGCCGCCATGAAGAAAAGGAAGCTACGGCAAATCGATGTCGCCAACGCGTTCCTCTACGCACCTGTCGACGTGGAAATCTTCGTTGAGCTCCCACACGGTACCAACGGGGAACCTAACCAAGTCTGTCAACTGCTGAAATCACTTTACGGGATCAAGCAAGCTCCGCGGCTATGGCAACAGTACCTACACGCTCGCCTCATTCGCATCGGATTCCGCCAACTACCTCACGACCAAGGAATGTACCGACTCACTAAAGACACCGACTACATTCTGCTGATCGTCTACGTAGACGACCTACTCTACATCGGCTCCACTGACGACATCACCACCTGGTTCGAAGGGGAGCTACAGAGGGACCTCACACTCACGGTCTCCTCTACCGTCACACAGTACCTCGGCTTGAACATTCGGGAAGAAGAAGGCGCGATCTACCTCAACGCCGCTAAGTACGCCGACACCATCGCCAAACGCTTCGTGCTCACACCTACCACCATCTCTACGCCCTACCGCTACGCGACAGGAAACCACAAGAAAGGATCCTTTGTACTCAAATCCGCCGGGATACGCGACTACCAGAGAAAGCTAGGATGCCTTCTCTTTGCAGCTGTCACCTGCCGCCCCGACCTCTCATACTCCGCAAGCCAGCTCGCCACCTACCTCAAGAAGCCTGAAGCAGAACACCTGGCGGAGCTCGACCGCGCTCTCCACTACTTCGTCAGTACCTCAACGATCGGCCTAACTTACTACAAGAACACAACTACACCGACTAAATTAATCGGCTACGTCGACGCTGATCACGCTGGCGACTCCGACAACAGGCGCTCCCGCACCGGCTACATCTACCGCCTCGAACCTATCGGACCGATCTCCTGGCAATCGAGCAAGCAGGAATTAATTGCTCTCTCGTCAGCTGAAGCAGAATATATTGCACTCTGCTCAGCCACCAAGGAAGGACTCTATCTTCGCGAGCTGCTGGAAGAAGCGAAGTTAGCCGAGTTACCCAACTTCACTCTGTTCTGCGACAACCAATCTGCAATTCGCATCGCCAACAAAAATGGATTCGCGAACAGAACGAAGCATATCGCTCTGCGATATTTCTTCGTGAAAGACGAGATTGAGAAGGGGAGACTTGAACTATCCTACTGTCCCACGTCCGAGATGGCAGCTGACTACTTGACCAAGAAGCTCGGAACACAGAAGTTCGAGTACTGCATGCTGCTGACTGGACAAAGCCACGTCACCAGCAGCGACACTCCAGAAGCGAAGGGGAGTGTTGGGAACAAACAATCTTAAAGCGCCTCTGTCGTGTCGAAACACCAAGGCACAAGCGAAGCAGAGCATATCGAGGCACCAGCGAGTCAACCCTCGGAGGTCGAAGTAACCGCTGGAGGTTACGCGAAAGTCAAAGGTCAGCGACCTTTGACTTGACAAATGCAGCGCGACAGCAAGGACACACAACTGACTCGACATTGAGCAGTTGCCCGAGTCACACTGTATCGAACCGCAACAGTAAAACAGTTTAATTATATCTCTTCGTATTCTTTGTACTCTTATATAAACCTTTGTACTTGCTTGTTTTAATCAACTTACTTTGCCCTCACATACCAGCGCAAGGTGGTTCAAGGACTTCATTTAAACGCTTCCGCTACTACATCACTCTACCCAGAGTTTAACCCTACCAAAGATCCTAAGGGGCACTCAGCCCAACAACACTACCCAAGGCAAAAAACCTGCCAACAGTTACTACACTGGTAACCTACTGCTCCGCTGATTTCCCCATCTAATCATAGCACCAGCCAGACTTGCTCCCCACTTCCCTTTTTACTTCCAGCCTTTAACTGCCCTTCACTGCCCTTTCTCAACTCCTTCCTTGTCCCCTGTTCCTGCCTTTTCACTTTCTGCCCTTCCTCTGCTTCTGCTTTTTGCCCTTCGCTGCTACCTGCACTGCCGCAGCAACCCTCACATCAGCATCACTCCTCATGCGAATGGCTTTCCCTGAACTCTCGTCCTCCCCACTTGACGACGATCCAGATTCACCACCAACTTCCACCACCACTGCTGCTGCTGCTGCTGCTGCTGCTAATGTTTCTGCTGGTGCTGCTGCTGTGTCTACTGCCGTCCCTGCTGCTGCTCCTGGCGTTTCTGCTGCTGCTGCAGCCACAGCCGCAACCGGCATTGCAGACCGTAGATCCTCCGATCGATCCGACGGTATGCTGTGATCCGCCATCGCATCAGCCGTGGCAGCCCGCACAGTCTTAGTTTCCAGAACCACCAGCTGCCGGTGCTCCAACTCAAACTGCATGAACGGCTGGCTCTCCCAGTCTGCTGTGCACGCGTCCACCAGCGCTGCCAGCTGTCGCACGTTGCGCACCCGCACGCCGTTGAGAGACACGAGGCACGTGTTGGTGATGTCCTCATACCCAATATTCGCCTCGTGTGCTAGCACCTGGGAGGTAGAAGCGGGAAGGGAGAGGAGGGGTAGAAGCATGAGACGTGCAAGACCTCCCAGTCACTCCAGCCAGCACCACCAGCTGCCGGTGCTCCAACTCAAACTGCATGAACGGCTGGCTCTCCCAGTCTGCTGTGCACGCGTCCACCAGCGCTGCCAGCTGTCGCACGTTGCGCACCCGCACGCCGTTGAGAGACACCAGGCACGTGTTGGTGATATCTTCATACCCGATATTCGCCTCGTGTGCTAGCACCTGGTTGCAGAGAGGGGGATGGTGTGGAGGTTAAGGGAGTCAGGGGTGAGGTGAAGGAGCAGGGAGGCAGGGCGCCCACGTGCCATTGAGGGCAACCAGGCACGTATTGGTGATGTCCTCATACCCTATGTTGGCTTCGTGCGCTAGCACCTGGTTGGTTATTGTGGGGGACGAGGGAATGGGGAGCACAGACGCAGAGCATACGTGTTGGTGATCTCCTCATACCCTATGTTTCTCACCTGCTTCAACCGTTTCTCACCTGCTTCAACCGTTTCTCACCTGCTTCAACCGTTTCTCACCTGACTCAGCACCACCACCTCTTGGTCCTCATGCTATGCATGCCCGTGCAGCAGCTTCTGCAGCAGCAAGGGTCACTTTAAAGGATCCTCCTCTTCACTTCACACTCCCAGCAGGCAGCCTCAGCAGCGACTTCGCACCTGCCTCAACCGTTTCTCACCTGACTCGGCACCACCACCTCTTCATCCTCATGCTCCGCATGCCCATGCAGCAGCTTCTGCAGCAGCGAAACCAGCGACTCAATTGGAGCCACTTACCACATTCAACCTGCCTCAACCGTTCTGTACCTTCCCTGCTCTCCTCTAACCTGCCTAAATCGCTTCTCACCTGACTCAACACCACCACCTCTTCGTCCTCATGCTCCGCATGCCCATGCAGCAGCTTCTGAAGCAGCGAAACCGGCGACTCAAACTCAAACTCGCTCCCATACTCTGACTGCAAAAACGGCTGCACAGCCGGCGTAAAAACCAGCCCTGCCACGATCAAAAACGTTGGCGGTTTGCCCCCCGTGTGGACTGGAATGAGTCGTTTCGGCGGCTTCAGCTGCACCTGAACCTTCATCCGCAGCCCGTCACGCAGAATTTCCAGCCGGGCAACCTCGCCGGAAAACTTTTGGCTGACCAGGAACCCGTAGGAGATGCGCTCGCCGGTTCGGAAAGGGACGGTCCCGTCGCTTGCGATGGGTACATTGTCAAATGACATGATCACATCCCCTTGCTGTAACACTCCATGAGCTCGAGACGTTGGGTCGACTTTTCGCACGAGCACACCCTTCTGCCCGGGCGACATTTTCAGAGCTGCCCGGAGCGCAGGATTCTCCAGCCTCTGCCAGAGGATGCCAATTGCGGGGAAACCCGTATACTGCCCGTTCCGCCGATAATCCCCGAGGAAATGCGAGATCACGGGCGTGGGAATAATATACCCGATATTCTCCGTGTCACTATCCTTTAGTGACTGAAACGCTATCCCCACACACTCCCCGCGGTCGTTAAAAGCCGGGCCGCCGCTGTTCCCAGGATTGATTGCCGCGTCGATTTGCACTCCTAGAAGCTCTGAAGCGCCATGAGCGTATGCGGTGACTTCAATGCGAGAGACGACGCCAGATGTGACCGAGATGCTGTCTCCCCCCACTGGGTACCCCACCACTGTCACCGCGTCCTCCAAATGAGGGAGCCCACCAAACCTGCAGAGGAGTGAAGGGACGAGCACACACACAAGGGAAGAACCTGTGAGCGTATGCGGTGACTTGGATGCGAGAGACGACTCCAGAGGTGACTAAAATGCTGTCGCCCCCCACTGGGTGGGTACCCCACCACTGTCACCGCATCCTCCAAGTGAGGGAGACCGCCGAACCCTGTGAGGGAAAGGGACGAGCACAAACACACACACAGGCGCCTTGAGTGAGCGAATGCGGTCACTCAGATGGGAGAGACGAAGCCAGAGGTGACTAAAATGCTGTCTCCCCCCACTGGGTGGGTACCCCACCACTGTCACCGCGTCCTCCAAGTGAGGGAGACCGCCGAACCTGTGAAGGAGGAGGAGGGGGGAGGGAGCACACACACAGGCGGTATGTGGTAGGAGGAAGAAGAGGTGAGTGAGATGCTGTCGCCTCCGATTGTGTACCCCAGTGCCCTACCACTGTCACCGCGTCCTCTAAGTGAGGGAGACCACCGAACCTGTGTGTGAGGGGAGATGAGGAAGAGAAGCAGAAGGTGGAAACTGGGAAACTGGGAAACTGGGAAACTGGGAAACTGGGAAACTGGGAGACTGGGAAACTGGGAAACTGGGAAACTGGGAAACTGGGAAACCGGGAAACCGGGAAACCGGGAAACCGGGAAACCGGGAAACCGGGAAACCGGGAAACCGGGAAACCGGGAAACCGGGAAACCGGGAAACCGGGAAACTGGGAGACTGGGAAACTGGGAGAGTGGGAGAGTGGGAGAGTGGGAGAGTGGGAGAGTGGGAGAGTGGGAGAGTGGGAGAGTGGGAGAGTGGGAGAGTGGGAGAGTGGGAAAGTGGGAGAGTGGGAGAGTGGGAGAGTGGGAGAGTGGGAGAGTGGGAGAGTGGGAGAGTGGGAGAGTGGGAGAGTGGGAAAGTGGAGAGGGGTACACCACCACTGTCACTGGGAACTCCAGATGGGGACTTTTCACCTCACAGCACCTCACCAGAGGAGCGCGATGTCGCACCCCATGCCGATCACCACCACGCTTGAACCCAACACACACCTTATGCACCTGAAGTGCCTGAGTGACTGTCTGCCTTTAACCTCGCACCACCTCGCACCACCTCGCACCACCTCACAGCACCCCACCTCAGCGGAAGTACCTGAGGGGTTGGCGGTCCTGCCAGAAGGCTTCGTCGTCCACAGCAAGGAGCATGATGTCGCACTCCACGCCGATTGACATCAGCTCCTCACAGCACCTCTCAGTACCTCACCAGAGCACGCAGTACCTGTGCGGAACCACCTGGGCAACTGTCGGCACCCCACAGCACCTCACCTGAGCGGTTGGCGGCCCTGCCAGAACGATTCGTCGTCCACAGCGAGTAGCGCGATGTCGCACTCCACGCCGATCGCCAGCACGCGTGCGACAAACTTGGTGTCGTCGCCGCGTCGCTTCAGCTTCACCTGCGAGTGGTGGCGTACGCGATACAATGCGCGTTCGTCAGAATTCGAGACATCCCACACAAAAAAAGAAGAGAGAGAGAGAAAAAAGAAAAACAGAGGCGTCTCAAAGCTTCACCTGCGTGTGGTGTTCCACGCAATGCGCGTTCGTCAAAATTCGCCTGCCCGGAATCATAAACCCGCTGCCCGTCGACGAAAACTGCCGCCGCTTCTGCCAGGGCAACGAGAAATTCGGCTGCGTGTGCGTACAATACACCTTAACGACCGCGTCTAGAAACGGGGAATCCGGCACGTCATCCTCGATATTGTCTCGCGACCCGCTAATAAGCCACGCCGCGTCCACGTCCTTCGATAAACCCAGATCGCCCAAATCGGACGGCTCAGATTCAAGCAGACCCCCGTTTCCGGTAAACTCGTTAGTCCCGAAAGCCCCGTGCCCGCTACCCCCCCTTCGCTGCTGCTTCGCTTCCTGGTTCGATCCCCCAGGACCAATTTTCCCGCCTTTTTTCTTAGACGCATCCTTGACGATTCGAGAGGCTTTAGAGGCTGCCCGAGCAGCGACCCCACGAGGCACCTCCTGCTGCTGGCTCGGGAGGAGAAAGAGCGGCGCGGAGGTTAGCGAAGAGGATTTGGACGCGGCTCCGTGGTGGTTCTTCGAATCGGCATCCGCGATTTGCAGCGATGGCGCGGAAGTTAAAGGGGAGCGGAGGCCGTTAGCGGGGAGCGTGAGCGGGGATACGCGGAGGATCGACGGGAAGGGGAGCGCTGGGGAAGCGGAATGGAGGCGGGAGAGGAGCGCGCATGGTCGCCCTCGTTTTAAGCACGAATGTGATAGAAACGAGGTGAAGCTGATTGCCTGGAAGAGGCCCTGCTGGGTGGCTCGCGCGGCGACTAGAACAACCATGCCGGGCGATAATTGGTCGGACGAGGAAAATGGGATGGATGTGTTGCGACACGGATCACGCTCGACGCGAGAACACGGAAGAATCAAGAGTGACGAATAGGAATCCGGCAATGGGTGTGAGGTCCCTGCCTCGTCCAGAGGCAGAGTGCTCTGGCGAGCCGGCTAGACGAGGCTGATTAAAGCGTAATTGGGAACCCTAAGTTGCTCAAAAGTGGTGCTCTGAGGTATGTGTGTGGATATGGTTCCGCAAGGAGTGGTTGTGGCTTGGGAAATATTCCGAGTCTGACAGGAAAATTGTGGTGTAGCTGGATTCTACAAATGTGGTATTAGTGGAACCCTACTATCGAGGCTCCCCAGAAATCCACAGAATTCACAGAATTTCGCAAATCGCTTATCAGAGTTTGGGTCATAAGCACTGTTTGGGTCGTCCTAGATTCTTGGACGACCAATAGGGCGCATTTTAGCTACACCACTGGAATACCATTGGTCCTTCTACCGTATGGCCCCGGATATAGGCGCCGTCCGATTAAGGGCGCCGGCGCTTCTATCTGGAGCATGGCGCTTATGGCCGGAAGTCGATTATAAGCGCCCCCCCTCTAGTGGGTGTACTTATTATAAGCGCACCTTTTCACGTTGTGGAGAACTCATTACAAAAAAAACATCTCTAATTAACACTAAACATGAGCATGCTAACTTTACACCTACAACATCATCACTGGCATTTTTATCTAGCTACATATTGCAAAGTTTAGCATCTCTACCTAGAAAATCTACTCCTCCTCGTCGGATTCTGGCTCCTGGCAGTTGTTGCCAAAGAAGCCATCGGCGATGATGGAGTCATCGACATCCACCTCCGCGGTCAGCTGGCTCCGCCTGTGCGCCATGGCGAGGCCGTCCTCACTGCCGTCAAGCGCGTTGCTGATGCCACAGGTGAGGAAGGCGCGCTTGATGAGGTCGGCGGGCACTGCTTTCCAAGCCCGTGAGATCCACCTCACGACCACCTCTGGGGGTGGCTTCTTCAAGTTTCCTGTACCAACAGAATCACATGAAATGAGACGGTAGTTAGCGCAACAAAAGGGGGGAAAATCTTCTACGGTAGTCTAGGGACTCGCGTGGCTACCGTACCTGCTTTGGTTAGCTGTTCTTGGCCTTCTTCCTGAACCCACTTCTGATACTGCTGGCGAACGCTCGCCTTAAAGCTCTTGTTGATGGAGACGTCGAGGGGCTGTACCTCCGCCGTGCAGCCAGACGGGATGATCGCCGGCACGCAGTTGAGCTCGCGAAACTTCTCCTTAACGGCATCAGTGAGGTGACCGCGGTACGAATCCAGTACGACCATCGAGCTCCGCGCATGCCTCCCGAACCCAGGCTTTAGAAATGGCTTGACGCACTCCTCAAGCCATTGTAAGACGCCGTTGGCGTCCATCCAGCCGTTCTCGTGACACGACACGACCACATCTGCATAACAAACAAGCTTCTGTAAGTCTCTTTAAAAACAAAGACCGGTGTAAAGCAAACAAACAAGAATCCTGACTCACCCGGCGGGAACACCCCTTTCGGCACGGTCTTCCGCTTGAAAAAAACCCACGGCCTCAGCTTCATCCCGTCCGCCGTGAACGCCAACATCACGGTCACGCGCTCCTTCTGGTACCCTGCGCTCCTGATGGGCACCGACCGAACACCGGTTTGATCGACGGTAGTGGTGGCGGGCATCTCCAGCCACAGCGGCGTCTGGTCGGCGTTGATAATCCACGTCGTCTCGATGCCGCGCTCCCGACGCTTGTCACGGACGAATTGCCAGAAGTTCTTGCATTGCTCCGCGACATCTGCGGTTGAGCACAGTTACGGTTAGTGAGTAACAAGTGCATACACATGGCATAGAGAATAAAAATGATTCTTACGGGCGGCGGTTTTCTGGGCGACCTTCGTCTTCATTCGCACGCTGAGATTCCACCGCCGACGGAACCGGTCCGACCACCGTTGGCTCCCTTTCCACTTCACGAGGGGGTAGAGAATCTTCATGAACTCCCGGGACCACTCCTGCAGGCGGCCGACGGACACCGCGGTTCCCTTGCGTCGCCAGTCGAGCAGTCGCTCATACACCTTAATCTCCATCGGGCGGTACCACGACGCCCTGCCGCGACCGTGCATGCGGCACCTGGCAGAGTGGGCTTCCTTGAGGAAATCAGCGGCACGCTTCCAGTTGGCGAGGCACTTGCGGTGGATGCCACTCTCGCGAGCCAGAGCGCGCACCGACACCGCCAAATCCAGCTGCGCGACCCACTTCAACTTCTCGGCGGCAGTATAGGCCTGACGCTTGTGGTCGTTGGGCTTGTGCCTGGGAGAGGGGGGGCGAGAATCACGGTTCTGTGAAGAAGGGTGAGGTCGCTTACGATTACGTGGAGGATAAGTTGGTATCGGGAGTTTCTCGGGGAGGCCATCGCGTGACCAGTATTCGACTCCGTCGTCGTCGTCACCGCCCGGCGCACCCTCGGGAAACACATCCTCAGCAGTGCCGGCCTCAGTAGCGGCCTCGGTGTCGGCCTCAGTGCGCCAACCGTCCTCGGCGTCTTGCACGTCGTCATCAGCGCCGACTGCAGATTCATCCCACGTGAAATCTTCTGGCTGGCCCCAACGTGGTGCTGGCGCTGGAGCGGGTACGTCAACATCGGGGCCCTTGTCATAATCCGGTTCCGACAGATACTCGTCGAACGCCGATGGGAGCAGGAGCGTGAGCACGGGGTGGTTGTCGATGTGAGGGGCCACCGGACACGGAGGAACAGGAGGAACAGGAGGAACAGGAGGAGCAGGGGGAGTCGGAGGCACTGGAGGAGCCGGAGGAGCAGGCGGCGCAGGAGGCTGTGGTGGCTCTGGAGGGTCTGGAGGTATGCGGCTATACCACCCGTCGGATGTAACACGGTACGCGGGCCTACTAGAAGGTTTTTTCTTGAAGAGAAAATGAGTGCCTGTGAATTCCGCCATGGCTTCCGCAGCCAGGCGGGCGAGAAAATGAAGACTGAATCAAAAACTGCAACCCTGGGTGTTGAAATGGGAGATTGAAGGGGACCCCTTCTGGTTTGCGGCTCGGGGTCCTCGTCGATGAGAGACGAGTACACCCCTGCCCCAACCCGCAGAGGAGGGTTGGGGGCACCATCCATGCTGCGCTGGCACGGCAGATTCCATCACGTTCTGGATGGTTCTGCCGAGATGCTCCTGCCTGGCAGCGCATGCCAACCTGATTGGGCCGCACGGCAGGTTTTGCATCAGCGCTGGCAGGTGCGTTGCACCGGGACGGGTTTTGTGCGGTGGGAAATCGAACCGCGGCAAGTTTCGACGTCATTCCATGCACGACCCCGCGTGCATGGTACAGTGCTGTACTCGCCTTCTCCACGGCTTCAGAATGATATCCTTTACAGAGAAATTCATTTTTGCCTTTATAAAAGCGCCGGCGCTTATGGCCGTTACTCAATTACAAGCGCCCCCCTTAAAAAATAATAATTTATTATAAGCGCATATGCGCTACTATCCGGGGTATTACGGTATGACCCAAAGTGATTATATGGCCTTGTTCGACTGGCGCATCAGGCGCAGGCTCGGGTGCCGGCTGTTGGGCTGATAAAAGCGGATCTTTCAAGGCTAAGACCCTGAGTAGGAATGTTGTAATTGCGGAAGCGTTCTTTGTGAACTTGTTGAACCAACTTGCACTAGTGTGTGAGAAATGTAAAATTTTAAAAGTGTGTAACACTTTTCAAAATTGTGAATTGTGAAAGTGTAGCGATTGCCAACGCAGCAAAGGCGGCGTCGCATCGCTACTCTTCCTCTTTTGGCTACAAAAGAGGGGGTTGAGGCCATTCGGCCTCACCCACGTTCTTCTTTTCAATCTCGAAGTTTGAGTTTCCCACCCACCCACCCAGGTAGTCATTGTCTCTAAGATTCTTGCTGTAATCGTAGTTATCATTGGACGAGATTGATGTACTCATACCCATATGAAATGAAGCACGATGCCTTTACAAGTTGCAGAAAGCAAGCTTTCACAATCAAAAGATTGATTATAGCAAGGTAATACAAATGCTTTTATAAGATTACAAGGAATACGAAAAAGTGCAACTAACTGGTTTGCTGTTGCTGTTCGATACAGTGACGACTCGGGCAACTGTTCAATACCGAGTCAGTTGTTTGTCCTTGCTGTCGCGCTGTATTTCATCGAGTCAAAGGTCAGCGACCTTTGACCTTCGCGTAACCTCCTGCTTTTACTTTCTGCCAACCTCCTCGGTTGACTCGCCGTTGCTCCGCTGTGATTCGCCTCGTTTGTAGTCCATTGTTTCGACACAACAGGAGCGTTAAATTGCTTGTTTCCAACACTCCCCTTCGCTTTTGGAGTGTCGCTGTTGATGACGTGGCCTTGTCCAGTCAGCAGCATGCAATACTCGAACTTCTGCTTTCCGAGTTTCTTAGTCAAGTAATCGGTTGCCATCTCGGATGTGGGACAGTAGGATAGCTCAAGTCTCCCCTTCTCGATTTCGTCTTTTACGAAGAAGTACTGGAGGGCGATGTGCTTCGTTCGATTCGCAAACCCGTTCTTATTCGCTATGCGAATGGCCGATTGGTTGTCGCAGAACAGGGAGAAGCTGGGTAACTTAGCCAGCTTCGCTTCTTCCAGTAGTTCGCGAAGGTACAATCCTTCCTTGGTGGCTGAGCAGAGTGCGATATATTCTAATTCAGCTGAGGAGAGAGAAATTAGCTCTTGCTTGCTCGACTGCCACGAGATGGGGCCGATAGGTTTGAGTCGGTAGATATAGCCGGTGCACGATCGCCTGTTGTCGGGGTCGCCGGCGTGATCAGCATCCCACATAACTGATTAGCTTGGGCGTCGTAGTTCCGGTCTTGTTGTAGGTTAGGCCGATCGTCGGGGTGCTGACGAGGTGGTGAAGTGCACGGTCGAGCTCCGCCATGTGATCTGCTTCAGGCTTCTTGAGATAGGTGGCGATTTGATTAGCTGA